CATGCCCTAAGACTTTGTAGAATGCCAAATCTAAGAGTGATGAAGATCTGGCAAATGAAACCTCAACCCAAGTTATAGAAGGAACTTTGTGAGTGCTTTCAGCAAGAGATAACAAAATAAAAGGGCAATACAATACATTATAATACAATAGATATTTTTGAAGGAGTTATCTTGGGTAAAAAGAAATGGGGTGAGTGACAGGATGAGGGATGAATATTTTTTGTAACATTTTAGAACTTGGTATTTGAAGCTATAGTTAGTATAAATATGCCACATATCATCTACAATGTATTGTATATAAATGTGTTTTATTTAGGAGACTAAGATAGAAAATCCAAAATTTAACTTGTGGAGAGTCATCAAAATTTAAGGCATTCAGAATTTTTAATAAATGATAGTCTCATTTTACCATAAATCAAACACATGTCTCTACCAACTACTATAGCTCCCCTTCTCACTTGCAGGAAATATACACCTAATGCCATACAGTTTTGGTTTCATGTGAATTTTAGAAATTATTTAACTGTGACAATGTATGACAACATAGGACCTAGGTTCTTCAAACTTAGTTTTACTAATAATGGAGTAATGCTTTTATGAATGTTAAATGTAAAAAGAAACATTTAGAGGTTTTAGGAATAAGAAACTATAACCCAATATATAAATAAATACAATAAGTATTATTACAAAAACCTATAATTTTGTTACATTTCTATCAAATGATATACACCAATACACTTATGACTGTATCCATTTATACATTTAATTCAATAAGTAGATTGGGGCATTCATCAGTTGTTCTTCATGTGGGATTTAGAGATGAGTGAACTGGCCAAGAGATCTGGCTCAATGAGTCTGTTCTTCTTGAAAGATTCTAACATTATTCTCAAATTCCCATGTCTGAGTTTATCTCTCCCAGGAGTGAGAGAAAGATATGGAAAGACAGTATCCCCAACAAGTTTTGACACCCAATCAATCCCACCCAGCCAGAGCTGGATTGTGGCCACATGCGCTACATACTCAGGGAGGTCTCCAAACACCTGAACCCTGAACCTTACCATTTGGGTCAATTTCAAATGTGTCACATTTTGCCACTATAGCACCATCTGGATTCATTTATATATATTTTGATCTTTCTTAGCCTCATAGTGTTCTCAAATAATGATCACTAGAACAGTCTTATTGATTAAAAGTAAAAATTTTCCTTTCATTTAGGTGCAATCGATTAGAGAGAGAATAGAAAAAGAATAGGTAACTTCATATTCATGAAAGACTTTTTAAAGTTGTCTTTAAAATTTTTATTGCAAATATTTGAGGTTTATAACATGATATTTTAGGATACATAAAGATACAGAAATACATACATTTATATAGAGATACTGCAATGGTTACTATAAGGGAACCAATTAACACCTATTATCTCACATTGTTACTGTTTTATTTGACAGGAGCCGCTAAAATCAAATTACTTAACAAAGAGTCTTTATTTTTTCAAGTTTTTTATTTATTTTTTATTCATAATAGAGACATATGAAAGAGAGAAGCACCCTCAATGGGGTCTTATTATGCAATGATCCCTTTTTCCTGCCCTCCAGTTAGTCAGAATCTTAGGCATGAACCTAGCTTGTTTTCAGACCAACCCAGGGAACTAAACCACAGTTAGCAATGTGGCTTCCTGCACGATCATTCAGTTTTCTGCCAACTCCAACACCATGTTAGGCCCTTACTAATTCTTAATCTATATTCTTTCATAAGTAAGCAAATAATCACTTTTTTGTTTCACTGATTTTTCGTATTGTTTTCACAGCCTCAATTTTATTTATTTCTGCTCTAATCATCATTATTCCTTCCCTTCTACTAACTTCAGGTTTGGTTTGTTCTTGCTTTTCTAACTCCTTAACATGCATCATTAGGTTGTGGATCTAAAATCTTTCTACTTTTTAATTGAAGGTATTTTGTGCTACAAACTTCCCTCTTTCTTCTTTTGCTATATCTCTCAGGTTTTGATATGTTGTCTGTTCCTTTTCATCTCTTTCAAGGAACTTCTAAATTTCCATCTTAATCTATTCATTGACACTGTCAGTTCAAGATCATGTGGCTTAATTTCACGTGTCTATAGAGTTTCCAAAGTTCCTCTTGTTATTGATTTCTAGTTCTATTTCACTATAGTCAGAAACATTACCACAATGACATTACTTCAACATTTTAGTTTGTCAAGAATTGTTTTGTGGCCTATCGATATTGTCTAGCCAGAAGAATGTTCCACATGCTAATGAGGAGAATGTGTATTCTGCAGCTGTAGGAAGCCACATACACAAAATGGCTGACATGACCTTCATACAAGGACCTTCAAGTATCCTTGTTCTGGGAGTAGACAATTCACCCTGGGATTCACTCATTCAGGCAGGTCCTCAGTCAGGTCCGCCACCATTCCTTGCCCCCTTTTTACCTCGCCTCCTGGCTTTACCCTTTAACGCAGCAACCAATCAGTGGTTGCAGAATTGCATCCCTCATTGTACAACCAATTAGCTTCCTACCCTGTGTATATAAGAATGTTCTCTGGCCCTCAAAAAACGATCAACTGCATACCATCCTGAGCTGTGACACTGTGTCACTCCTGTGCTGTGACGCTGCACCAGTTCCAGACCTCGGCTCTCTCTCACTCAGGTAGCTTGTTCAGTTGTCCTGCGGGCCGGGACATGTAGCAGCTAGATGAAATATTCTGTAAATTTCTGTTACATCCCTTTCATTTATACTATAGGGTTTTTTCCACCTTTTCAAAATTTTTAAAGTTTTTTGCTATATTCACATGTGCTTGCCAGAGAGAGTGAAAAATTGAGAAATCACTCCCCAGGAAGGATGGTCATGCCTCAATCCCTTTTCTTCTATTCTCCTCTCAGAATTTTGAGCATGCACACACAAGCGTCTGGCATGATTTTCAAGCCACCTAGTCTAAGGCTTGCACCACAGTCAACCATGTGGGAGTCTAGCACCTTAACCACTATACTACTTGCTAGCCCCCTATACCGCAGTTTTAACTCTGATGTTTCTTTGTTGACTTTCTGTCTGGATGATCTGTCCAATACTGAGAGTTGAATGTTAAAGGCTCAAACTATTATTGCATTGTAATCTCTTTCTTTTTAGATCTAATAATAATTGCTTTATACATTTGGTTGCTTGTGTGTTGGGTACTTTATGTAAAAAGGTACTTTCAAAAGTTTGTGTAGCCTAATGGTTAAGGGAGCTGGATCCCACTGGCTAACCAGCATTCTAATCCCAGCCCTGGGGGCTTGAAAAACACACTGAACATGTGTGTGTCTTCAAATCTCCAGAAGATAGAGAAATGGAGAAGGGACTACAGCATGACCATGCCCCAATTTAGGGGGAAGGGTATTTTCACCTTCTCTGTCTCTTTCTGCCTATGAAAAATTAAAAAATAAACTTTGTGGAAAAGTGAACTTAAAGTATAAGTTTATTTAGTGCAAAAAATTTTGAAATGCACACTCAGATTTTCATAATACACATTTTCGTGAACTTTTTGAAGACTGCATATTTGCCATTATGATATCATGTTACTGACTTGATTCCTTTTTCATTACATAACTACTTTGGTTTTTTAACCTTAATTTTCAGTCTATGTATAATTTTTCTGGCATTTCATAGATCTCCTTTTCAGGTACATTGATAGAGAATTATCATGTTCCTTTAGGGTGTAATAATACCATTTTTTAAATAATGTTTCTTGAATCTCTTTGTGGATATGTGTGTATCTAGTGGAGCAGTTGCCTTTACAATTTTATGAGATGGCTTTCCAGGTGACACTTTAACTGTAATCAGCATAAGCAATGTTTGCGTGCCTTGGTAGCTTAAGCTGCAGGAACTTACAAAACTAGACCACTGATAGGACCTGGCTGTCCTAAACACAGGGCATGCTTGTGGCTTGGTAGGGTCACCCCAGTACTTCTGTGTGGCCTGGCTGCTTCCATGGGCCATAGGTGAGAGGGGCCATTTCAGCAGCTATCTGTGCAGCACATAGTTGTGAATGAGGTTACCCCACTGGCTACTCCTAGGAATGGGGGTTTGCAGGCAGGACCACTCCAGAGGTTCCTGGTATGGGCTGCAGTGGGTAGGGTCACTCTTCCAGCTAGTCCCACAAAATACAGGGGTGACAGGACCTTTCTGAGGGCTTCGCTGTGGGTGGGATAAGCTGCTGGGACATGTGTGGATGTGGCCAGAAGACAACTTTGTGCAGCCATAATATGGGTGGAGAAGGGTCTAATTAGACCTGGACTCATCTTCTGGGACAATTCAGTGGCTTGGACCTCCTGGCTGCTCCTCAAACTAGGGTCAGTGCCTGTGAAGCTACAGAATTCCTTGGCAGTAAAGACTTCAAGTGTCCAAGGTGGTAAAGGAAGCTACTGGGAGTCTCCTCTTTACCTCTTCTCTGTTACAACAAGTCCCTTCTAGTTTCAAGTCTACCTTGAATGTGGAGATCCAGCAACAGATGCAGTATGTTTTACTTCCTCATTTCCAAGGTCATCCTGAGTCTATGTGTTCCCCCTCAAACGCTCAAGGTGAATGTCAGCTCCTTGTTCTTTTTTTTTTTCTTCTTCAAATATAGAATGCTTTATGAATTTGTGTGTCATCCTTGTTCTGGGGCTGTGTAATCTTCTCCATTTCATTCCAAATTTAGTATATGTGATTGTAAAGCACGCATTCCTGTTCTTTATTGTGAAGGGATGCATGTTAGGCACTTCTGGTCAACCCTCTTGATGGAAGTCTCATCAAAGTAGTCTATTTTTTTTTTTTTAAGAGAGATTTTTGCTATAGGGCGCATGTACTCACCGGAGAGAAAAAGAGACAGAAAGTGAGAAATTCCTTCCCAGTGAGGATGGCAACACTACATTCCCTTTTCCTTCATTCTCCTCTTGGCATTTTAGGCACGAGCATGCGCGCGTGCGTGCACACACACACACACACACACACACATACATTCTTCTTCAAATATAGAATGCTTTATGAATTTGTGTGTCATCCTTGTTCTGGGGCTGTGTAATCTTCTCCATTTCATTCCAAATTTAGTATATGTGATTGTAAAGCAAGCATTCCTGTTCTTTATTGTGAAGGGATGCATGTTAGGCACTTCTGGTCAACCCTCTTGATGGAAGTCTCATCAAAGTAGTCTATTTTTTTTTTTTTAAGAGAGATTTTTGCTATAGGGCGCATGTACTCACCGGAGAGAAAAAGAGACAGAAAGTGAGAAATTCCTTCCCAGTGAGGATGGCAACACTACATTCCCTTTTCCTTCATTCTCCTCTTGGCATTTTAGGCACGAGCATGCGCGCGTGCGTGCACACACACACACACACACACACACATACACACACAGCCGGCATGAGTTTTAAAGCTCCAGGCCCGGTACTTAAACCACAGTCAACTACATGGGAGTCCAGCAATAAAACCATTATTCACCCACTTGTCCCTCATCCAAGAACTCTTAATACATCTAATTTGGAACCTAGAATTCATTTTTCTGTAGAGATAATACTCAGATAGAAACAGCTTACAATTTAATGTGTGTGTGTGTGTGTGTTTTAATTTGCAAGAGGGCACATGAATTTACTAGAGAGAAAGTAAGAGAAAGAAAGAGGGAGAGAGGGAGAAAGTACACACTTCCTCAATGGGACATGGTCATGCCACAATCCCTTCTCCTTCATAACTCCATCTGTCTTGATTTGGGTCGTACACACACATATGCACATAGCAAAATTTTCAAGCTACTGGGGCCAAGATTCTAACCATACACTCATGTGGGAATCCATCTCCTTCAACTATCAGTTTACTATGAGTGTGTCTGGCGTGGCTTTTCTATTGGTAATACTCATCTGTGTGTGGTTGAACATGCGAATATACTCAAATCATGTTGCATGGTTAAAAAAATAGTAATATAGTCAGAGTAGCTGTAAGTATTTCTTTACTGCTTTCTAAAGGTTCACCAGTCAGTGTACTAAGAATACACATATGTACCCAGGGGTTTCACAGTAGCTTATGTTTCAACATGAAATTTAATACTTGCTAGTATATTATTTTCTTTTTCCCCTCAAGAATTTTGCATGAACTACACTATCCATGGCCTAGGATTTGGAGAAGAAGGTGTTCACATTAAATTCCACTGCTAAGAAGAATTTATTTCAAGGTAAAATAAAAACAAAAATTTTAAAAGGTTTTTGAAATATAGATTCACTTCAATGTATATATGTTAAAATGAAGATCCTTGAGAGAATAAACTTTAAAAAAACATTCTGGTACGAATAAAATATTTCAAATTAGATTAATATGCACAAGCCCTCTTTGGGCCTATAACCCCAAATGTATGACTTTCTTATTTCAAAGAAAAGGTACTCTTTTGTAAATGCTCTTCTCTAAAATGTGGGAGAACAATTTCCGCTGCAAAGTAGGTTGTGCAGAGCCTCTGTGATCTTACCTAAATTATTAATTTGGTTAATCAGTGCATTCCCTTCACAGATATTCCAAAGGGAGACTGGCCCTACTCCCTGTCCAAAATTTCACAATATTAATTAGTACATTTTTATTTTTTAAATAAAAACATTATTAAACCCAGTCAATATCCAACTTTCTTATGGAAGATAAAGTATATGAAGCAAACTATTTACAACAAAAGCTGGTATATTTCATTACATTTTCCACAAAGGAATTTAGTCTATAGTTCTACTACATATGCAATCTGCACTTTATAATAGAACAAAATTTACTCCCCAAAATCTTCCACAATGTATAATTAGGACACCTGCCTTAAATCTTTTGACAAGTTTTTAGTTCATTTCTTGGGAAAAACATTCTGGCTGTTTCTTTTTTAATCAAAGCTATTTTGTTAAATTGCTTTCCGAGCAGACCTCAGAATATTAGCAGCCAAAGTCTAGCTCTGGCCTTGTCGCAATTTGAATATTAACAGTCATAGTTTTACAGCCATTCCATTTTGAGTAATGCACTGCAACTCCCACAATTCAGCCGTCATTTTTTCCCTTCCTCAGCTGGCCCTGGCCCTTAGAATGTTTGCGTGGTGTCACCGTGAATGTGCTCAGAGCAGAGTTATATGGCATCATTTGGAGAAACATTGCGTTAATAACCAGAGTTCAAGGGCAAAGGATATAAACGGAGCAAATTACAAGTCTGAACAGATATATAGCTTTTGCTAAAAGGGACATGGGCTGCTACTTTATTTACTGGGCACTGGTGCACTTGTGGAAGGTGCCGGAACACAGGAAGGCATTTTTAAACAACTACATCACAGCTTAAGAAAACAACATATATTTTCAGACTAGAAAGAAAGCTACTGCAAGTACCAACAATTCTAAGTTTTCTAATGAGAGAATACTATTTGCTATAATGTACCTTAAGTTTTCAGGGTTATTTCACAGATAATGTCATTTTATATGCCACCGTGGAGGGAGAGCAGAAGATGTTGGAACCCTTTTAATACATCATTTCAAACTACAACTTAGCCCAATTTTGTCAGGGAATTTCTTACTGTGTATATTGTAGCCATTTTAACCCATTTTATCACCCTAGTTCAATACCAACACCATGAAAGAATGATTGTGAAAATTCTGTATTTTAGTTTTATATGTTGATTTCAGAGCAACCTCGGTAATTACACAAAGAAAACAACTAAAAGAGAAAAAAGAAACTAAAATAGTGGAAGAAAAATGAATTTAAAAAAGGATAAATGAATATCTTAATAGCCAAAGACAATGAATACCAAAGAAATAATTTCTACCTGCTACATTACTAAATATTTTTACTAATATTCTCAATAACACTGAGCATACTTTTTAAAATCTGATTCCTTTCACAATGTATATCCATACATCAAAGCATCATGCTGCATATCTTCTTGAATATATGCAATTTTTAACTTTTTAATTTTACATCAATATAACTGAACAAAGTGTGGCACAATATTTTCCTTTTGACAGATGGAGTGCTGCTTGTTGTTTTTGTTGATAAGTAATTTGGAAACTATGGTAAAACTATCATAATCGTCATTAAATGTGGTCCATTTATTCCATTAAAAAATCTTTGCAATTAATAATTTAAAACATGGAAATTTTGCCTTAAGATGTTCCTTACTATATTATTTATTCTACTGAAACCAAAAACAACCTAAATGTCCCAAACTGGAAAAATGGTCAAACATATTGCACACACATTCAGTGAAATATTATGCTGTTATTAAAATTAATTTAGTCTCTAACAATATTAAAAACTGCTTTTGACATATTGCTATATGCACTCACAGATTTAAGTACTCTTTTGTAAGTATTTAAGTGTACATAAATATAATTTTAGTAAGAAACGTGCATAAATTTAACTTACCTGTGCATTTTTTGTGTATGCTGGCTATGTTCACCTGATGAGACATTTAGATTTCTTTATAAAATTCCCTTTTTTCTAAATTTAGTTATGCTAATATAATATTTAAAAAGAAATACCAATACCTGAATCCTCCCTCCCAGTAATTTTCAACTACTAGATAAAATACACCTTTTGTGACATGTTCAGATCTCATTCATTGCCATATTAAAGATGGCTTTCAATTCTTTATTGGTAATAGAGGTAAGGGCAGAAGGAGATGGTGGGTATTCTAAAGCACAATCAGAATAACATTCTCGTCTTAGGAAAAAATTCACCTGTTTTCTCTAAACCACTTTGCTCTCAGAAGTAAATGAATCAGCATAGACGCAGGACTGACTTATGCCTTCACACGAGATGTATTACCTTCAGCGCTGTGGCTTGCACAGGAGAAATGTGTGCAGTGAATGGACCTGTCCTTCAGTTGCCAAAGAAAAGCCCAGATGATACAATAGCTACCAGCTCTATTTCTATGGGAGTTCACGACATATTTTCTCCTGCTATCCATCTGTCTGCCTCAATCCCTACTCTGGACCTAATGAGATTTTAAAAGGACACCTCTTACACAGAACTGCCCAAAACCATGCACTGTCATCATTTTACAAGGACAAACAAAACATACTCAAATTGCTTGTGACATTTAAACATATAAAAGCTAAATTATGAAAATATTGCATATCCTTATATGTAAAATATAGATTTAGAACACACACTTGGATTTTATTTTATTCTTTAGGGGGAAAAAAAGTTTTACTATCATTTAGTAGCCAGTTATCTTATCTTTTTAACTGAGACAGAACAGCTAAAATGTCTTGCCCACTGGCATTTAGCCATTTTTGATGGTTTCAATATTGCCTGAGCTAAGGGAATGCAACTGTTCAGGTCTGATTTCATATTGTTTTCTAGATACTGATAGGGCTCATCCACATAAATGACAAATAAGACTTCTAAACTGTTTGCAATTTGAGAAGGGGAGGTTCGTGGATTATTCTGACGGTGAAATGATTTGTCAAACATCAGTCCAAAATCGCACCGGGTTCTTCACCCTCCACTTTCCCATAGTGCGTTTTCCTTTCTCCCACAGAGATAAAATAGAAACTAATCTTCAAAATCTAAACATTCCAAGCCTGGTCCTTTTGTGCAAGCATCTTGCTCTCTCCCCTCTGTACTGAGCTGCTCTAGTGCGCTCCTATTTACATTCGCCGGCCCCCCGCTGCTCAGACCCAGCCGGCAGACAGGCCATCCATCATCCGTCCTCCCCCTGCCGAGCGCACCGCAGCGGCCAATCCGGCGGCAGGTGGAGCCACACCTGCGGGACAGCCGCAGCTTCCCTCCAGTCTCATCACCGAGCCTCTCGCATGCTACCAGTGCCCTTTCGAGACACTGCATCCTCCAAGGCCAAAACCAACCAGACAGGTACGAGACACTGCATCCTCCAAGGCCAAAACCAAGCAGACAGGTATGCGAGGGTGACAGGGACCCTGTGTGCTGGCAGCCAGAGACGCGGAAGGCACGTTCTCCCTAAAGCACATGCCTGCTTTGGATGGGGGCTACCATCTCGGAGTGTGGACACACAGGCCCGCACTGGGTTTAGTCTCTAAGAAGTTGAAGAATTATGATGCTTACCTTTGGAAGAGTAACTGAGAACACATTTTAGTGACAGAATGTG